GAACTGAGGAGAAAAACCCCAAATTCCTGGGATTTAAACCCAAATCCTAAATCCCAAATCCCAAATTCCCAATTTAAATCCCATAAATCTCACCTGTGGGGTTCCAGCAGCTCGTCGGGGCAGCTCCCACTCGACAGGCGCTGCCCGGGGCCGGGCTCGGCTTCGGGGTCACCCTGGCTGCTCTCAAAGTGCTGGATCATGGTGCGGACATTGCCGGGCTTTAGGGCTGCAAAAATGGCAAAAATCCTAAATCCTAAATCCCGAAAATCCTAAATCTCAAATCTCCAAAATCCCGAAAATCCCAAATCCCCAATCCCAGTGCTGGATCATGGTGCGGACATTGCCGGGCTTGAGAGCTGGAAAATGGGAAAAAATCCTAAACCTCAAATCCCAAAAATCCCGAAAATCCTAAATCTCAAATCCCCAAAATCCCGAAAATCCCAAATCCCCGATCCCCAATCCCAGTGCTGGATCATGGTGCGGACATTGCCGGGTTTGAGAGCTGGAAAATGGGAAAAAAAACTAAATCCTAAATCCTAAATCCTCAAAATCCCATTTGAAATCCTAAATCCCATCCCAAATCCCCAATCCCAGTGCTGGATCATGGTGCGGACATTGCCGGGCTTCAGGGCTGCAAAAATGGGAAAAATCCTAAATCCTAAATCCCGAAAATCCTAAATCTCAAATCTCAAAAATCCCGAAAATCCTAAATCTCAAATCCCCAAAATCCCGAAAATCCCAAATCCCCAATTCCCAATCCCAGTGCTGGATCATGCTGCGGACATTGCCGGGCTTCAGGGCTGGAAAAATGGGAAAAAATCCTAAATCCCAAAAATACTAAACCTCAAAATCCCAAAAATCCCAAAATCCTAAACCTCAAATCCCCAATCCCAGTGCTGGATCATGGTGCGGACATTGCCGGGTTTGAGGGCTGCAAAAATGGGAAAAAATCCTAAATCCCGAAAATCCTAAATCTCAAATCTCCAAAATCCCAAAAATCCCAAATCCCCGATCCCCAATCCCAGTGCTGGATCATGGTGCGGACATTGCTGGGCTTGAGAGCTGCAAAAATGGGAAAAAAAACTAAATCCTAAATCCTCAAAATCCCATTTGAAATCCTAAATTCCATCCCAAGTCCCCAATCCCAGTGCTGGACCATGGTGCGGACATGGGAAAAATCCCAAATCCCAAATTTCCAATCCTAAATTTCCACCCTAAATCCCGAATTCCCATCCTAAATCCCCAATCCCAAATCCCATTTTAAATCCCAGTCTGAAATCTCAAATCCAAAATTCCCAAATTCCCCAATCCTAAACCCCAAATCCCTGAAATTCCTGGGAATGTCGGGGAAAAAAATGGAATAAAACCCAAATGAAGGGAAAAAATGATAGGAATGGAAAAGGAAAACACAAAATCCCCAAAAAAAACCCAAAAATGGGAATTTTTACCTTCCATGGGGGACAAAGGAACATGAAATGCTGGAAAACAACAAAAAAAAAGGGGGGGAAATGTCAAAATTCCCAAAAAATAAATTCCCGGGAAAAGGGGGAGGGAACGGGAATGGGATGAGAATGGAAAGGGAAAAAGGGCGGGAAAATTCCAGGGGAATTTTGGGATTTGGGCACAAAATTCTGGGAAAATTTTGGGATTTGGGCACCCCTGGAGCAGTTTGGGGGGGATTTTCGGGAAGGAATTCCCAAATTTGGGGAGGAATTCCCGAAATTTTGGGATTTGGTTGTGCCCAGAGCAATCTGGGGAAGATTTTTGAGAATTCCTGGGAACTCCGGGGTAAATTCCAGGGAATTTCTGGGAAAATTTGGGGAAAATTCCAGGGAAATTTGGGAAATATTCCAGGAAAATTCGGGGGAAAATTCAGGGAATGCTGGGGAAAAATCCAGGGAATTTTGGGGAAAAATTCCAGGGTAATTCGGGGAAAAATCCAGGGAATTTCTGGGAAATTGCAGGGAAATTCTGTGAAAATTCTGGGGAAAATTCCAGGGAAATTGGGGAAAATTCTGAGGAAAATTCCAGGGAAATTGGGGAAAATTCTGGGAAAATTCCAGGGAATTTCTGGGAAAATTCTGGGAAATTCCAAGGAATTCCAGGAAAATTCCAGGAAAATTCCAGGGAATTCCAGGACTCACTGCTCTGGGAGGAGATTTTGGGTTTCCCGATGTATTTCAGGATCGGATTCCTCCTCTTGTCCTCCAGGGAATCTTTCTCCTTCTTGGAGCTGCTGCTCTGTTGGGAAAAGGAAAAAAACCTGGAATTCTGGGGATCCCAAAATTCCAGAGGGTTGGGAAAAGGAGTATTTTCCAGAATTTTCCCCACATTTTTCCCAGTTTTTTCCGTTTTTCATGCATTTTCCCCGAACTTTTCCCAGCTTTTTTCCCGAATTTTCCCCACGTTTTTCGCAGAATTTTTCCCTGTGTTTTCCCAGATTTTTCCACTGATTTTTCCACTGATTTTTCCCACGTTTTCCCCACGATTCCCCGTATTTTTCCCCGTGTTTTCCTGGATTTTCCCCGTGTTTTTCCCCACATTTTCCCCAAGTTTTTCCCCACATTTCCCCCATGTTTTCCCAAATTTTTCCCATTTTTTTCCCCGTGTTTTCCCAAATTTCTCCCAGATTTTTCCCCACACTTTCCCCACGTTTCCCTGTATTTTTCCCACATTTTCCCCCATGCTTTCCCGTTTTTTCCCCCGTGCTTTCCTGGATTTTTCCAGGATTTTTCTCGGATTTTCCCCCATGCTTTCCTGGATGTTTCCTGGATTTTTCCTGGATTTTTCCCATTTTTTTCCCCATGCTTTCCTGGATTTTTCCCGGATTTTTCCCGGATTTTTCCCCGTGCTTTCCTGGATTTTTCC